TTTATTTACAAACGGTTAGAATGCATCTTTGATTAATAAGGTTTGAATTTAGAATACTAAAAGTTGAGTTAAGAGACTTGAAATAAACCAGCTTTTCAAAAACATGGCAAATTTAAATATATTTCTGATGCGATGATTTGGGAACTGTACTTGTAAAAGCTACTCTCACGGCAAACATTATTAGTTGACTTATTTTAATTTAGTCAAGGGCTTGCAGTCCTTGCAATGTTTGAAACCCTCTGTTCTCAGGCCCCATCCTAACACTGCCTCGCTTTTAACACCTGGCAATTGAAACACACCTCTATTTCACTATAAAACTCAGGAAACTCAGGAAGCAGTTCCCAACATCTGTCTCCCAGTGCCTGCCTGCCTCATCTTGTAGCCTTCCGAGCCTGTTTTTACCTCAGAATGAAGGGAGGCCTCTTGTCACACTTCGAGGCCAACCGGCTCCCTGTACTTTTCCCACCCACCCCTTCAGGACCTGCTACGGGAAGCACCCTTTCTTTTCTGGTGGCTTCCAATTTGCTTTCAAATGTTCTATTCCAGCCACAAAAGAACCAGACAGAAAACCTGCTCAGGGACCTCTCTGTGCATTTATACTCCTTTAATCCACTGGCTCCAGCTCTCTTCTCTCCCTTTCCACATTTCCGGACACAAGCGGATGCTTTTCATGAAAGGCTGACTTTCCTTCCCAGCTCCTTCTAATCTCACAGTATCTGCAAACTACCTAGGCATCCACTGACGCTCAGACTTTGGTGAGCCACGTCCTAGCAAACTGCTACTTTAAAGTCCTTAGCGTCACTACTTCCCTGAGACCCGTGATCCTTGGACACTCGTCCTCAGCTTGCCTTGTCCTGTGGACTTCTGGAAAGGGCTCTTCACTGTTCCCTTGAGTCTAGCTCTCTTCCTCATCACCATCCATCCACAGTCACCTTCCTAACGCCCAGCTAGGATTGGGCTCCTTCCTTACCCAGAAGCTTCTCTGCCTCTCCTGTGCTGCTGACAAAGTCAACTCTCTCCAGTCAGTTACATGTTTCCCCGGGGAAGCCCTGGGTGTAGCCTCATCATCGCTCTACAGTCCCACTCGACACCCTCCAATCAAGCCAACCGCAGGTGTTTTCCATTCACTATCCTGGATGTTCCAGCCTCTGTACCTGAAATAGCTCTTTACCCTAGGAGGGGTCAATCAGAATCTACGACAACTGCAGAGATCAAGTCATTACTCACGGTTTGCTACTCTAGAGTTTTTGTATGAAGCTCTGAAGTTCTGTATGACTCTTGCAGCATTTATCTAGCTGCTGGTCCACCTTCCTTCAGAGGCTGTAGGTTCTTTAAAGGAGGCAGCTGGGTGCAGCGACGCGGAAGAATAAATGCAGAGTCAGAGGGATGCAGCTTTTAACCCTCCTCTTACTTCCTCTGTGGCTACAGACAGGCTACTTACCATTGTCCCAAGTGGAAGACAAGTATCAGTATTTTCTCACAGAACATGGCAAAAGCTACATGAGACAGTAATAAGCATCTGGCGCTCAAAGGTGTTTATGGGCTTTATGTCTTTCCTTTTCTATCAGCTTTCAGTTATTCAGTTTAGCTTGGAGCTGCCTGCAGTGACAAAGTATGTCATTTTCCCCAATTTTTGGACCATCTATAGATGATACAGACATACAAACATCTGAAAATTTCACGTTTCTCTAGGAAGCAGGAAAAGAAAACCATGGCACTAGTTATTTTCCCCAGAAATGAGGGAAGGAGGGAAGGAAGAAGGAGTGGGAAAAAGAAGAGGAAGAATTAAGAAATGAAGGACAGGGGCTGGGGATTTAGCTCAGCGGCAAAAGCGCCTGCCTGGCAAGCGCAAGGTTGTGAGTTCTGTTCCCGGTACCGGAGAAAAACCAAAAAAACAAAACAAAACAAAAAACAAGAAACGAAGGACACTGGTGGGTGACAGGAGCAGAGAGAGAGATGGAATGCTTTTGTATATGCAAGAAATGGAATGTTTTTCACCTGAAAATACACAGGTGCATCCAAGACACTGTATGTATAAAGTCTAACTTCTTCAGAGTCCAAATTCTATAAATATAGGCCAACCTGCACATCAAATAAGTGTTTCTCACCTACTCCTCACTGCTGTCCCCAAGCTCTCCGAAATAACCTGCCCATGTGGAACGATACATGAGCCTGAAACAGCTGCTTGTCTGTTTTCTTACCATGGCTTGGCCTGGAGTTGTGAACTTTGGCTCAGAACACCTGATTTTGCAGTGACCTGCCAAAGAGCCTCACAGCTTAGCACTGGCCATGTGCTTTGCTCAGCAGGGCAGTCAGCCAGACGGGGCCTTGGCTCTTTGCAGAAAAGAGTTATCCTAAGTAACCAAAGGAAAAGGAAGTGGAGAGCGAGGTTCCCTTCTGATCGTGCAAGTGAAGTTGGGTAAAATTGGTCACTTTCTACGCCTCCCACAATGGAAATAGTAGCTATAAATGTGAGGAAAATATCCCAAGTCCCAAATTCTACACAATGTTACTGAGCCTGTTTTTCTTGGGGGATGCTGAAGACCATGCCCCTCCCAAGCAACCTGTGTTACTTTTAGTCTGCCAGAGAGCTTGGCTTTTATCAATTACCCTAAGTAATTCTACGAACTTCAAGATCCATTCATCCCAGTGAACCGGACTTGCACTCATACAGTCACTGCTAGTGTTTTCTCAGAGTATCCCCATGTCACTAGCTTAATTGGTGGCAGGTTATTTTCCAGTTGTCAAGTAATCTTTTCCTATTTAAGAGTCAGAAATAGAAACATTCACTCAAAGGAACTGGATAATTTGGAACATGAACAATATAAGTATTTATTTGAAAAAAAAAAAAAAAAACATTTTCCATTTAAGTAAAATGGCAAATCAGCTAGAGTAGCTTCTAACTACTCATTCTGATTTGCCCTCACAGTCACTTTCACCCACCATATTCAAAGATATTGCTACAGAAAGCTATTTCACAAGTTTTTTTAGAAAAATATATACAGTCTCTCTAATAGAAAGTTAATTAGAACAACAAAGCTAGGCAACTTTAAGCTAAGATGAAACAAGTTGACATTCATAAACACAAATAAATAAATATGTACAAAAGAATCTATGCAAAAACACAGAACATCCTCTCCACAATGTCAGAAATAGTAACAAAAATGGGAATGAGCTAGGATCCTAGGCTAAAGCTGATCTAATAACACAACGTGGTTAAGACGGAGGGAAGGAGAATAAAAACAGTGTGAGCTACACGGGAAAGGTGGCTGCGAGCCGACTTTGGCTCCCAGGGTGAGTTCCTGCCCAGCTTCTCTGTCAGGCAAACTTAAGGTGAGAAATGTATACTTAGAACCACGGGTGGAAAGTGGCCCGGTCTTCTAAGTCCATTTCAAATGTTTCTATTCAGCTTTTTCTCACCTGACTTTTGAGAATCTAAAGTAGAGCTAACAGTGTCATCAATTAGAACAATGTTTTCCCAGATCTGGATGCATATGAGTAAAATTCAAAAGCAAAATCATTTTTGAAGCTACATCTCAATGCCTATCAACTAAATATGCACTTTGTGCAGAAATCTCACAGTAGAAAGCTTATTAAAATCTATCATGAGTATCTACGGTTGGGGGAAGTATATGAATAGTCAGTGACTAAGATTAATTTTCATCTATACACAACCTTTGGCACAATAAGCAGCCTGCTAACATATGCCTACAGAAAAGGATCTGGCTCTACTGTAGTGAATCTTAGTGACCTTAAGATTTATAATCCTTCTCTCCCAAATATCCATTCCCTTGGGAAAGCAAGGCTGGGTAACGTTTACATCTCTTTGCTGCAGAATGGAACAGTCCTAACAGGCCAACACCACACCACACCATCCTGCCACCCTGTTAAGCCTGGCTACTTTCTTGTTTTTTGTTTTTCTTCCGGTACCAGGAATCAAACTCATGACCTTGCACTTGCCAGGCAGGCACCGTGCTGCTGAGCTAAGTCCCCAGTTCCCAAGCCTGGCTACTTTCATTACTGGAGCTCACCAACAGACTGGAGGCCCTCCGAGTGGCTCCAAAGCCTTGAAGCTCTTCTACATTTCAGACTAAGAACCACCTGTGTTTTGCACAGCTCTCCAGGGCTCAGTCTGGCCAATGCCTTCAAGCTGGCTGGATCTGCTAAAATCTCTCCTCTCGTCATCACTTCTGCTGCTGGCTGTTTCTGTGAACCAGACCCATTCCAGGGAACCTGGAGCAACTGTAAAGGCATGGCATACACTGGACCCCATTTCTAAAGAGCTGGATAGGATGCTGTCACTTTAGAACAATTAAAATTCGGTTGCTCACACCTTCAGAAGCAAGCGCACATGGCTCAGGACAGTTTGAGAGTTAGGTAACCTGCCTACTCTTCTGCATGACTTGTTTACAGCAGCCCAGTCTATTAATACTACACTCTGTCTCAGCAGACCTCTTCTGGCTCTTATACACTATTAAATGGAGGACTCTGCACAACTCACTTTCAAACTCACAGCTGTGGACCCACACATCTATTCATTATTTTGATTAACTGAGATACCACATCTATCACTTCATACTCCTTGGAATGAGATTCTCCATGGGGGAAATAAGAGGACTGTATTTGTGTGACTGGAAACGTCACGAAGTCACTAAAGCAAAGATAGGACCCAAATCCCAAACGTGTGTCTCCTAAAAAAGAAAGACCGTTGTACACAGTATACTTAACGGAAATTCTCCTTCTTTCCCTGAGCCTGTAGACTCATCACACAGTCCAGAAGGAAAACTAGAGGTGTTACAGATTCATTCTTGAATGACTACCGGAGGGACAGGGTCCACATTCAGGTGAACGCCAAATCAGATTCAAATGTCAGGGATTAAATTATAAATATTGATGTTGCCTAAGCTTGTGTCTTGAAAGGAACGAATAAATAAAATAGTAGAAATTTACATAGCTTCATAGTAACTAGGTCAATATTTGGGAAAGCTTGCTTTCTTTTGCATGTTATGGTCCTGAGGATTATATATTTGACAATTAGAAAAAACTCCTTTTGCATTTTTGGACCAAATGGTCTTTTTTATCTGTGCTTGAAATTTCACAGAGTAATGCTGACACAGAGTAATTGCTGTCGCACTCTCAGAAGTAGCACTGGGGTGAAACGTGCAAGCAGCCATGATAGTTACAAGTATTACCCTGCTTCCTAATGTTGGGAAAGAGAACACAGAAAACGGCCACATCCAGGCACAGCGATGAGGTACATGAACCCTAAACTACTTTCTTCTTGTTTTGCTTCTCCTTTGACCTCTAATTTTAATGTCTGCTCCTGGGTTCTGATTAGCTTGGTTCAATTATATATTTTAAAAAATCATATCCTCTTTGCCTACTGAGACATACTGCTCTTGGTAGGGAAGCTTTAGTGATGACGGGAGCCTTCCATCTGAGACACACACTGAAAAGCTAAACTCTGAATTTCACAAAAGCCTTCTTAACAAAATATATTCCTCATCTCTATGCAGTTACCTAGGTAATAGAACATTTATATCTGCTACTCATGGTTTTCTCTGCTCGCAGATCTTCACATTTCGTGACTTATTTTCTTTTTCTTAGACTGAAAACATTAAAACTTGGTGCTGTGGCTGAAGGTGTCTGACAGGATAATGTTTTTGTAGAAATTGTCTGAGTGAGCATTGCAATAACCCTTGACCTTATCAATAACCTGATGGACAGGGATGATTGATGTTTGTTCTCCATCTGCATGAGTCAGTTTTGACAAGGACTTGTCCATGGCAGCACTGTCTGTAAGAGATGATACAAGAAATTAGACTACAAGCTGCACAGGTGACATGCCTCTGGGCCACCATCCAGTTCCCTCCTGCAGCTTGCACATTGGTGAAGCACACAAAGGAAATAAAGTTCCAGTTCTTTCTTAGAGTAATAGCAATAAAATTTCAAGTATTACATCATTAAAGTGCATCCATCATGTTTACTGAATGTCAGTCTGCCTAATAATAATTTGTTGGGCTTTGTTATGGGGAAATAGTCTTCTAAATGGCATTTTTCAGAGTCAATGAATAAAATCATTTTTAAAAATCACTTCAAAAATATATGTATTGGGCCAGGGATATAGCTCAGTGGCATAAGCGCTTGTCTGGCAAGCCTGAGGTCATGAGCTCAATTCCTGCTATATATGTATATATATATATATATATATATATATATATATATGTATCAAATGGCTCAAAACAAATAGTAGATTCAGTAAAAAATAAATTAAAATATGCTGAAATGCTTATGAAAGAAACGCTATCTAAGATGTGTTTTCCAAATAACAGAGCAAAATGGGATGGGGCATGCAACTGTATATAAGTTGATGAGTTCAAGGAGGACTCGTCACACTATTTTACTTTTTATCTGTTTGATATCTTTTCACAATAAAAATTTTTATCAAATTTAATTTAAAGGATTTTGGAGAATAACAGTGAATCAAGATAAGCATAAAGACCAGATTGAACATCTCTTACCATGAGTTTTAGCTGGTGAAATGAATGGAACAGAGTAAAAGGGGCATCTTCCATGAATTGTTAATTGTAGAAATAAAAATTCTCTTATCAGACAGAGAACTTTTCAAAGAAAACTGTTTTACTAACTTTGCTCCAGTTTCAAAATATTATTGATGACATTAATAATATCAGAGCAATCAAGAATAATAAAGGGCCAGTTAAGAAACTTGTATTCTGAATTTTTCAGTATCACATGTTTAAATACTCTTTCCTGAGGCCCAAGGTCTTTTAAAAAATTAGCTCAAATAGTGCTGAAAACTCATATAAGCTCTATTTATTATAAACACATGTGGTTATATTTATGTATTCCATGAATATCATTAAGTATCTTCCCTCTACCGGCTAGTATACACTGGAGAAAATTTTACCCTTAAACTAACTACAGAGATTTTTACAGTGGTGAAAGAGAAAATATGATCTTCTTCCAAGTATTCAGTTGTCAACAGTCATACTGTCTCTCTGTGCTCGGAGAGGTAAAAAAGCTGTACCCTCAAACACTGCTTTCAGGAATCCTACTTCCAAAATTGAAATACTCACTTCAACCCTGTTAAGTTTTAAGTAAATTGGATCCATATGTGACATATGTGACATAACATATAAAAGCTATAAAAAATTGGTCCAAGTCATCATGAGGACATCTGCTGTCCTTGGAAACTATTCAAATTACTGCACCTGGGAAGACACTAAAATAAAAGGATGGCTAACATGGACAATGGTTCTCTCATGCCACTCTGAAAGAAGGTGGAGGGAGAAAAGCTGGTCTGTGGAAAGAATGGGCAGACGGAGGCAAGGCTGAGCGATGGAAGCATGTCCCCGTGCTGGAGAGAAACAGCTCGGCAAAGTCACGTCTGCTCTCAGCAAGCTGATTGATTCTGTGTTCTCTTCCAGCGCACATATTCACTAGCCATTGGTTTTCTGTTGGGGAGTTGCTATGATAATGAGGAATTTGTGCTTCAGGTTTTTAGAAAACCACACATCCTCTGTGAATGTCAAGGGTATATTCCCTCTGTCCAGACTGTGACCAACTTCACTCCAAAGATGTGATCCAATTGGATGGACCTTTACAGTGTAGTAAAGTAAAATTGTGAAAGAGGGGTATTCCCAATCTTTTGGTTAGATATTACAATCTGAAAGAGAAGGATTTTGATGACAGCTGTAAATGTGAAAACCAGGGGCTAGAGAAATGAACTGTTATTTATATTATTGTACTTAGGCTGAAATTTCAAGCAAAAAAAAATCCTCACAAAGCAGCCTGGCATTGACAATTTCTCTTTCATAACTTCTATGAATGTACCATGACTTATCTAGCAATCTGTAAGAGCAGTGAAAAGGAAGAACAATCCATATACTTCTATAGAAGTTCTCTTCTCAAACACTGCTTTATTTTCATTATTTTCCATGGTATGTGACCCACTCACTCCACAGCATGGTACATTTCCTAGAAGGAGCGGCTCGCACACCCCATGCAGAGAAGAGAAGCACAGCAGACTGTCATTCAAACCTTCAGAAATGCCAGCTCAGGGCAGGAATAGCAGTGTGCTTGCTGAAAAGTATCATAAAGCACAAGCCGTTTTGCTGGTGCACCCAGAACCTTAGCTTAATCCATGCAAACATTCCCTCATTACCTTGCAAAAATTCATGCATTCAGATAGTAAAACATTACCTGAACGATCCACTTTTGTTGAAGGAATGCTCTTAGGAGACATTATCTACACCATAAACACATGAATGTCTAGATCAATTTGAAGAAGTAAACCAGCTAGAGACCTGTGAGGATATGCAGTGACTTTCTGCATACTCCAAGCAGAAATCCAGCTGTCCCATTCAGAACTGGCTGGATAGCCCAATTTATTATATAAATGATGCTGTAAGTCTCCTTACATCCTCATGCTAGTAGAGAAGAGTTCATTTAGCCATAAAGGTTCTTTATTTAGGGTAAGTGAAAAAACATTACTACATTCTTTTAAAATATACCAAAAAAAACCACACGACACTTTGAAATAATAAAATTTGCCTTTGGCACCTCCATTTCTGCATTTTCTCTTTTTTTTTGTTTTTGTTTTCTGGTACCGAGAATCGAACTCATGACGTTGTGCTTGCCAGGCAGGCACTGTGCTGCTGAGCTAAATCCCCAGCCCCATGCATTTCCTCTTTTAATGTCTCATCAGTTTTCCCCAGAATCCTATAGCTCTTTCTTTATTCAATATTTCTAAAATACAACACGTTCCAAGTGATCTAACCTGTTATTCTCTCTCCTCTTTTAAAGTGGATTTCTTTCTTCAGACTAGCTATTCTCGGTTGTGCTAGCCTGAAAACAATTTAATTGGTCTAAAGGCTACATGTTTGTAACTGATAGATGATGCACTAATTGAAGAGGCAAAATGAGGATTTAATTTGGTTAAGTGGAAAAAAACATTCATTGTAAGTGCAAGATTTTGTGCCAGGGAGCTAACTACCAAATAGGTAGAATCACCTACTTAGATTGCACAAGTATCACCAATTTCCTTACACCGGTACAGTATTCTCAAGCAGGGATGCATGGACCTTTTAATTTTAGGCAAAACTACACACACAACTTATTTGGGAAGAGAATCTCTTGTATTTGATTCTGCTCCAAAATGTCTTTCTGTGACTCCAAGACACTTTAAGAACTGCTGCCCTAAGTTGCTCCAAGTTCTTAGATCTCTCTTACATTTTGGAATTAACAAATTTTCAAAACACCCCAACATTTTTCCATGGTACTATCCTAAGTGCCAGGCAGTAGCCTAAGTGCCACACCAGTGGCAAGGCACAAGACGGTGATGCATGCAGGGACATGTGTGAGAATTTAAGCGTACATAGAGGTCACTGTACTTCCAGTGTTTACAATATGACCAATTACAGAAATATCACAGTTACTTCCTATTTACAAAAAGTCCAGTGTTACTCTTTCCTGTGCCATTCAACTTTACTTGTGTTTAACACTGAACCAAATTGAAAGTTGAAAAGTGAATTGTATTACTCTCTTAGAAGTAACTGGAATTAGGAAGTAGTGCATGCTAAATGTTAACAGTTGTGTGTTAAAGGGCTTAGTTCATATTTTAAAGTAGCAATTCCACTGTTTCTCTCTGAAATTATTAAAACAGTACATCTTTCTGTACCACTCCCTGGCTGTCAAATGCTACTAAATATTCCTTATTGCCTTCTGTCACTAGGATGGCTTGCATGCATAATCAGTATCACAATATATGGTCATTGTAAGTATAAAGAAAAAACATGATATGAACAAAGGAATAGTATTTCTTCCCTTTCTTCAATCACTTTCCCAAACTAGGCTCTCTGTTCTTTCATATTTTATCAGTAAGCTACAGACCAGCTGCCAAAAACACTTCCAATAGTTAAAGAATGAAATCTTAAAATATTCATCCTAGATGTTGCTTGTTCCAATTCTATGTCAACTTGTCAAGTAACTTCCTTACTGTATGAAGTATTTTACAACTCAATTTCTATAATTTTAAATAAAACATTAATTTTAAAACAAAATACTATAATTTTCAAATAAAAACTAAGTTTCAAATCAAATGATGAAGTTGCACTGCTATTTGGAATTAATGATTTGGTTAAGTAGATATCAGGGGGCTATAACATTTTTAGAAGATTATATTCACAAACTTGCTGGGTGTGATGGTCAGACTATTCTCACACACTGAAAATAAGCACTTTATCAGGCACTGGGTTCCATCAATCTTCACAATAAGCCTATTTTTTTAATGAAAATGGACCAGATGAGAACTGTACCAGGGGCCAGCTTTATGATGACCAGAATAACTCACCAGTGTGGCTATTCCTTTTGAAGTAGGTGGTAGAGCTGGATTTAGATTTGGACGTAAGATAGGTTGAGTTGGAACCAATGGAACTCGAAGACAAAGATTTTCCCAGATTATCAGAGCTCTTCTTGATGATATTGGTAGCTGTCTTACTCCAGTCTGAAAGAAAAGACGTCACACTCTTAGTCTCCTTTATGGGGAGTAGGCTGTGCCTCGAAAAACCATCATCACTACATTATTTAATCTATCTGGGCCATATGATTTTCCTGATACACTGGCAATGACTCAGAGAAGATACTGAGACGTAAACAGTAATAAACTGAGAAAATAGAGAAGTTTCCTACTATTTAAAACCTTATTTCCATATTCTAAAGGTGAGAAGTAATCACACTGATGGAAAAAATATATGTATATACCTAAAATGTAATTGAGAATCTCAAAAATATGGAAGGGTGGGTCTGATGTAGTAGAGCTTCTGGATATCTGAATTGTTAAATCAGACATCAAACCTTACATAACCCAATTATCCTGTTTGGAAGTCATGCTTCTCTGTAGCATAGGAAGGTCAGGTCCAGAGTTCTCAGATCTTTTTCAGCCCTAATATTCTGACTCCAACTAAGCACCTTCACATGCTCCACTTAGACAACTTGCTACCTTTGGAACTGGGTTGCTCTGACAATGGAAGGCTAAATGACAACTCTTTCCACTTTTATACATAAAAGCCAATTAACAGATGCCCCTTTACCTGAATTGTCTGCTAAGCGAAATCTACCACAGCAGAGATGCCGTCTCCACTGCTTCTGAACATTCTCCTTCATTGCACAGTGGAAAATAAATATGAATAGGCCTGTGACAAAAGGAAATATACACAGTTAAGCCACCCAACACATTTTAAATGGTACATCTTATTATGTTTGTAAATTCATTTCAATTTTAAAGTTTTTACATTTAAGTCACTAAGGAACAAGACCTTAAGGAAAGGAATTTTGGAGTATACAACTGACACTGTAATCCTCTGGAGAATAGTAGGAAGGTTCAGACACAACTAAAATCACTACATGGATCTACTTCTGCCTTTGCTAGTTCCATTCGGTATTACTTAGGATTTAACCTAAAGACCAAGCTGAATTACATAACATTCAATTTAATAGTTCTCTTATACTTGTCTTTATATTACACTAAAAACGTTCCATAACATGTAGGAACAAAGAGAAAAACGAAAATACCTATAACTTCATCATGTTTTTAATGTATATATGCTGAGTTCATATGTACATTGCTATGGTTATAATCACAATATATTAGGCTGGGCCATAACAAAGTGGTCTTCTTGCAGGTCAAACATGTTCCCAAATCCGAAAGTCATACGACTCCACCTAGCTTACTTTACTTTCTCAACATTTCTTCTTTTTTGGTACCAAGAATTGAACTCAGGACCTTGCACTTGTCAGGCAGGCACTTATGCCACTAAGCTATCTCTCTGGCCCAACGTTTTAACACAGAAATATTTCCATATTGGAAGCCATCTTCATCACTCCCTGTGCCTATCAAACACTAACTGCATCTCTGTTGCTTTGGAAGCCAACCCGTTACATCTCAGGGAATCTGCTCTGGAATTTTAACCCTCTCTTTGTGGCCTCATCAGTTTCTTTCTTTCCTCCTTTTTATTGGTTATTCCCATCACCATACAAGCAGTATTCCAGTAATTCTCTTTAAAAAATTCCTCCCTTAACTTCATTCTTCTTTAAGTTCTTCACTTTTCCAGTGCTTCATCTGGAAGTGATTAATTTTTACTGTTTCTACTTCTGCTTATGTCGTTTGCTCAACCCTCTCCTCACAGGCTGCGATCCATGCTCATGACTTCATCACAACCGCTCTGATCACTGCACACCTCATATTGCAAGCTGTTTCCCACGGCCACTGTATTAGGCCTCCTGGCAGTACTCGAGGATGAAAGGTTTCCTCATCCTCGATGCCACCGTCTTGTACTTTTCGTCCTTGTTCTGGGATTTTCTCTTGTTCTCCTTGTTAGATTCTTCTTCACTCTTAAATCTGACATGTCCGTGCCTCACACCCAGGTTCCCAGCTCTTCTATGGCTACAGTCTCTTAATGCTTCTAAAATACAGTGTTACCATGTCTTGAGACTGAGGACTCTGTTTCCTGTTTGGTCTCACCCCATTTTGTCCCTAATGTCACCAGGATTGCAACCCACAGTAGTTCCCAAGACAATTTTCCTTGGCTGTGTCTCCCGTTAGCAGCAACCTCAGACCCCAAACGTTCTAAACATAAGTCTTCCTATTCAAGATCCTTAAACCACTTTTACCTTCTGCTTCTCAATGTTTTAAGTTCACCCCACCCAATGTCATGCTGACTACTTTTTCCATAACGGTTGCTACCTGTCATTCAAGTCTCAGAGCAACTCTTAACTCCCCACAGAGGCTATCAGCTGTTACACATATGTTTTGATTTTAGACCATAGTCACTCCCTTTCACACACCTATTTTCTCTATACACTGATCATCTTGTAGTCCTCACTTACTCACTGTTTGTTTATCTCTTCCTAGTAGGTAGTGTGCCCAATGCAAGCACAGATATTTGTCTATTCAACATGTTTGCTGGGTGTTTGCAGAAGGATGCAAAGAACTATGAGTGAACTTGGTGAATGTTTAATGAACGAATTGTAGTAACCACGACTAATCAGTCATTTATTCCATCTGAGTTAAATGAATACACTGCTATACTTTTAATGAGTACAATCGTTTGGAGAAGAAGAGATTAAAATAGGAATGAGCAATACACACATTAAGGAGACAGGAATACAGTGAAAATATATTTAAGGCAAAAGTTTCTGAGAAGCATTCAAATGGCTGCAGAGGTACTGCTCTAGTACTACACTATAGTAAGCAGTAATTAATCTGCCCAAGGAAGAGCTTTCCAGGGGATAAAGAGCTTGAACTGAATCTTGAAAAAGGCTTCTTTAGGGAGTCCAAGGAAGTTTCCAAGAAGAGTAATTCGTTCAATGACTTAGCACCGCTAAGTAGGAAGCCCTGATTTTGGAGTCAGAAGTTCAAAAATGAACAAAGCAGACAATCCTAGTATTCAGAGAGCCAAGGGAACAGCACGGCATGGCATGAAAGTAAAAATGACTGAGGCACTTAGGGACAATTAAAACTTATCATTCCTGTTGAATATGAAGTAATCATCAAGAAACTTATCAATGCCACAGTAGCTTGTACAAGAAACTATCAATTCCACAGTAGCTTGAAAGAGTAGGGTAAGTAGGGTAAAGTACTGATAGTACTCTTTTAATATGCATTAGTTTACAAAATATGTCCTAGATTATGCTTACATTTTTATTTCTCTAACTCTAAATGCTGATAGTTTTATTTCAGGACAAATTACATTACTATGAAATAATAGAGAAGGCGTTTGCTGGATTTCTACACACTGGCCCTGACCACAGTGCAGTGGCTTGGGTTGACCCTCCTCTGGGTTAGCTTCTCACTTAGCTTCTTGCTAGCTTCTCCACCTTGATCAGGGACTGCTGATCCTAGTGCCTGAGGCGAGCCTCGTGCCTGGCACAGAGGGGGTTCCGGCCATAAACTCGGACCAAAATGACTTAAGAATAATTACCTATTTTGACTTGTACAGAAGTGACACTATGAAAATACTGACTACATTTTTGTCAAAATGAATTTCAAATGAAGTCAGTCTTGTGAAAAATTCCTGGGAGAGTTCAGCACATTTACCTCTAAAAGGTGTAAGTAATGTAAGCAACACTATCATCATTTTTATTATTACTGTACCATTCTATGCATGGCTGTTGTGCCAGCTAACCTTAGTAGTCAACGTGATTGGATTTAGAGATTCCTGGAGTGATGACTGGTGGCAAAATAGAATGAACCACTGATGTTGAAAGCTGAATGTGCTGTCAGGGCTGGGACACAGTTGGAGGTGGTCACAGAGGGTATGGCTTTGTAGCATGTGTCTCTTGCTGATGCTCTTCTCCTGTGCTCTGCTTCCCTGTTCTCATGAAGTGAGCAGCTTTGCTCCACCATGTCCTTCTACCATGATGTTTCTGTCCGGGAGCCACCTGACCGTGAACTAACACCTTTGAAACCGTGAGCCCAATTGAAACCTATCCTCCTTCTAGCCCAGCAAAGGGAAAGTGAATTAATATAGTTAGATAAATATATGTCATTTCATTTATTATTATACCTTTAATCCCTACAGTATATTTGTAATAAAGTAATTAGAAAAGGAAATATACCCTATTGATCTATTTGTCTGAAATGCTCTATCAGAGGGCAGGAATATTCTAATTTAACAAAAAGAAAGCTTTCTGAAATATGAAACAAATTTCAGGTATCCTGAAAACAAGCAAGCAAATCAACTCTCTCCTAAGCTTCCTGGGCTGTGAATTGGGGAGGAAATGTTGGAAAGAAGATACTTACTATACACAGCAGCCTGGCCTATGGGAGGATGTGACAGTCCTCAGGTAAGGGATACTAAATTCCATACCCAGAATCCTCAGAAGCAGGAGCTTTCCCCTCCTGCCAGGAGCAGGGAGAAGCATCATTGGCTCCAGCTCTCTTCTTGACCTTCCAAAGGACTGCATCTGATTGCTTTTCAATGCCTCCCTACACCTCTGCAACCCCCTAACAATTTCCTTTTAATAAGCAAGTACACTTCACATGGCCAGTGGTGTGAAAAAGCAAATGTGTATCAATAATATGACTTGGTTAGCAGACCCTGTGCAGTGTGAGGAGCTGGTAGTAGTTACAGAGCAGAGTGGAGGGGAAGGAACCCTGAGGCCAAGTCAACAGAAGTCGGGAGAAGGAGGTTGCAGTTTTAGACAAGGAAGCTCACTGCCTCAGGTTTATTCTATTTTCCTTTAACTGGGTCAGAACTTCCAGAAATTGTTCCTGGTGGTGTTTTTATCACACAGCTGCAAATATAGGGGATAAATATGTATTCTTAAACAACTATTTAATAGAATCACATACTGGAGCTGCAAGATATCATACACTTCAACTAAGGACATTTGTTCTCAGACATTAATCTAAACTTTATTTACTATAGAGCTTCACATTAACCTAATGATTTTCTTTTACTGAGGGCAGAATTTGAAATCTGCTAGACACTGGCTTTTCCCTTTAGGCACTATTATTCTTTTTGTGACAGAACTTCAGAGGTTGTGTCTGATGTTGTGAGGACACTGGAAGAAACCTAGGTAACAGATTTGATTTTTTTTGCACTATTGGGAGCTAAAATGTGAATTATTTTGAGATTCAGATGCTGACCACAGTAACAGAGAAGAGGCTAAAGACACACTGACTTAATAAAATATTTTTGATTATGTAATGCTTCAAATCATAATTATGTAATATGAGATAATATCACACATTTTAAGCAACCATAATTGCCTGTAAATATACAGGCACAAAATAAGTTTCAGAGACACTGGCATGTACATTAGACCAAAAGTCCGATACAGTACATCTCTAAAACTATGTGACAGGAAGAAGTCACGTAAAAGCTCCATCTCCCACTATAAGTGTGGGACAAAATATTAAGTATGAGAAATTAGAATGCTTATGAATTAAGCATTCTTAATTGCCAAGGTACAACATTATATAATATAGCAAATTTTTTAGCCTTGAGATACATTCCCACTTTGAACCTGAATGAGACTCCCCTGCTAGGTAATTTTACTATTTGTAGTAATGAGCCACTTTCCTATGAATTTAAGTTGGTCTGGCAACAAATATGATACCAAAATGCTTTTGGAATGAAATATCCCTTTTAGAGGCCAGCCTGGGAAATGTGGTGCGCAGTCACTCTTG